TTTTATTATTTTTTTTTAGTTTATTCTTCAAGGCCATTTACAATCGTTTCTACAAAGCGAAACTTTTTTGTGATGAAGAATAAAAATTATATGCTATGAACTTATGCGATCAAAGTCAAAACGAGTTAATGAACGATCACAGTGATTCTTAGTTCAAGAAGACGTACTGCGTATAGTTATCAATTTTTTTTTGCTAATTCTTATATTCGTATTTCGCGGATAGGAAGTGAAAATTACAACTTTTCCAATACCAATATCGAAATACAAGTTCCCATGTTCCTACAGGGTATTTGCCACAAGTACAAATAAAGCCAGTTGTATTAATATTGAAACTCCCGTGTGCAGTTGACAACATGAAGTCTACGTTGATTTGTCTTTTGAGGGGCGTTGCTCATTAGCATAATGACGTTAAATAAGCGGCCAGCTGTTACAAATCGAGTTAAGTAGTATTTATTTTACTTACTCTGTTTTATAGTAATTAATTTAGTAAAAAAAAGTAAGAAAAAAGTTTTGCAGTGCCAGAATCTGTGCACATACAGACAAACATTTGAGCGTGCATCCATACATACATACATATGTGCATTAGGGTGTTCCAAAAAAATGCATGTGAAAAGGTAAAGTCGGAATTTTTATGCTCTCATCACCCCCCTCGGATGGAAATGGCATAGGAAGGACAAATTACTCCTCAAGTTGTAGGCTATTTCCAATTTGGATTGTAAAATGATTTTTCAAACCGATATTTAACTGTTTTGATATTTAGTATTTCAAAAGTTGAATAGTGAAAAATACAGCAAAATACAATAAGCATTAGCCCTGGAAACACATTCTTCGCCGAATCGACGAGTCGGCGACGTGTATTTTTTACCTAGGAAAAAGTGTGTGATTCCCAATTAATGGACATTTTTCGAGAAAACGGGTTTTTACACTCTGCGTTAATTTTCCCAAAAATACTCTGTCTTTTGAAAAGTGCTTAAAATTATTACTATCTTAATTCCAACGCTTTTTATTTCTCTTGTAAAATTTCAAAATTGCCAAATATGTGCAGTTGACATAAAAAATTCCATTAAAAAGGTATGAATCTTCAAAACCACATTTCCTTCTATTCCAGATTACAGATACGAATCTATAAATTTATGTACATACTTATGTACAACCGTAGAAGCAGGACGTCGGCGAACGGATATGTCACAGATACAAGCAATGACGGCAAATATTTAGATATGAAAGTACTTTTTCTTGGCAAGAAATTGTATAGAAATCACAGAAATCGACAACAAGCTACTAGACGCTTTTGAAATCAATAAAAACAGAACAACAATAGCAACAAATCGAGAGTGATGCAAAAAGCAGCATAACAAAAGCGGAAAAATCAATGATAAGAAAAATCGCGCATTCTGTGCCAGAGACGCTCGGAAGAGACGATGCCACATTCGCCACATGCGCCGCCACCACCACTACCAACGACGGTAGCCACAAGTTGTTGGCGATTGCTGCTAGGCGACAAATAAACGGGCAGACAGACAGCGCATATTAGAATAAAACTTTGTAAGACCCGCTGAGTCACGCCAAAAGCCACGATAATAAAAAGAGTAGCAAGCAAGCATAGAAAACTAAGTACAGATATACAGCATATCAATTTAAAACGAGTGTTGCGGGGCTGATTCGATTTTTCGTTTACCATATATAAGCGACAACTGGCGCTGAAAATGTGAAAATGTTCCGGTGACAACTGTCATAAAACATTTCACGTACAGTTGTGAATAGTAAAATGAAGTGAAATGCAAATTTTAGCGAAAGCAAAAAATAAAAATAAAAACGATAGTGCTTTCCAGCCATAGCCTATCAGCATGGTTAGAGGCACTAAATGAAAAATAAATAAAAATAAAATATTGTAAGTAAAATAAATAAATGTATACGGGCATATGCATGTGCATTAGTGCGCATCACTCTCCATGCAAACAAAAAAATCGGTACTGTTTTTCCATCGGAAGTACAAAGCATTACATTTGGAGTCTCGAAAACAAATATTTCAGAAAAATATTAAGATTTGCGTGAGTAGGACCGATTTGAAAATACCACCAAATGTCTAGTTTTTTATAAATAAAATTAGTTATGAAAAATATTTTTTTCAAAAACCACTTCAGATTATAGAAGCGCTTATCAACGGAATCAAAACAATGAAATTATTGCAGAAACAAAATTTCGCCGCACACTCTCGAATCTAAACTATTTTGGTAAGGCAATTTCAAAAAAAAAAAAAATTTGTGTCTATCCATTTTCCGACTTCAAAAAAAAAGGAGGAGACTATCAATTCGTCGGAATATTTTTTTCATGTATGTTACCGCATAACTTTGGACCACGTCAACCGATTTCTATAATCATTTTTTTAAAGGAAAGCTGTAACCTCAGAGGTGGCCCCATACTAATTTGGTTTAGATCAACTTTTTATATGAACATTGAAGTCGGTTTTGTTTTTTGCTTAAAAATTACTGGTTCATCATATCCACGATATCTACAGTCGGATCTTAAAGTATAATATACCGAAGTTCTTTTCTGGTGAAAGACATTTTTTTTTGTTCCAAACTTGATAGATTTCAAGTACCCCGTTCTAGTACTTGCTCACCATATCTCGTTTCTTATGCCCAAGCGTACCATCCTAATGTCAGTAAATTAAAGCACACCAAAAATTATGAAACTTTTGCTAAGGAAATATTCAATTATTCCAGTAGAACTGTTTCAGTTTTTTTGGTGCCGAATGTAGTTGTTACCAAAAGTTTAAAAAAGGCAAATACTTGGGTTCGGCTAGCAAAAAAGTTTTCCTAAAATTGCCTCAAAAATGTAGTTCCTTCGAATGTGTACCTTGATTTTTTATTTTATTTTTTGATTGCTTGTAAGATGAATCAATCTAATGCACAAACATATATGTATGCATGTATGTATATATTTACATACGTAAGCATATATGTATGTATGCGCATATGCAAGTATGTATAAAAGCAATTTGTATGTCAATAGCTTGACTGGTCGAAGAGCAGCAAGCAGAAGTCGGCGACTACACCGGCATTGACGAAGCAAATCAAATATCATTAAGAAAATCTGCATAAATTTAGCAGGCAGTGACACCAAATACAAACAACTACAACATACATATAAAGCGCTAAAGCTAAAGTCAAAGTTGACACAACTCAAAATTTGGAAGATTTTAATATTTTGCGGAAGCAATAACTCATTAGGTCAAACAGAGGAAAAATTAAAAAAAAATTGAAGTTCCGTTTATGTATTCTATCAAAAATTCAATAAAAACAAACCACTTCTCTTTGAAGGTCCAAAGATGTTGTCATAAATACTAGTATGGAGACTAGAAATTTGTCTGCCCAAATGTGGAACAACATACCCATAGAGGTAAAGCAAACTGAGTCCGAGGAATTTATCGATAAACTAAGAATTTTTTCAGTGGATTATTCCGCCACACCAAAAAAAAAATATCCGATTCCGTGGAAATGGCACCTACGTCTATGTTTATTTACGAGTATGTATATTTTTATAGTCGCTGAATCTCAATCCGCTATAAGTAGTGGCCCAACGGGTATTGGCTCAAACCTAAATTCAAAAACACCCATATTTCGGTGTTTTTGGCGGTTTTTTGAGGTTAGATTTGATTCCGGATTCAGACCTTTTATGTTTGATAAGTAAATATGTAGCTCACAAAGTTTCATGGTTTTTTCTATCTGCATTAAGTAGTTTTAAAGCAACTATCTGATCAATCAGTTGTATGGGCGCTATAGGTTGTGGTGTTTAAAAAAAGGTCCAAAATTCCGAATCTGAATCCTCTTGTTCAAGAACTTACAAAAATTTCACGAAAGTTGTAATACCATTCCATGCTCATGAAGGATTAATAAAAGCCACCAACTACATATCGGCGCCAGGAGAAAAGATTGTCGTATGTTACTTTCCGCAGGTTTTGGGGAAATTGCGATTGTAGTTTAATGTAATTTCCCAATGGCGCAACAATAGATGTCTTACTGATTCAGGCTCCTTCTCGTATATGCAGTTCGTGCAGAAGTTGTTGAAGAGCATCGCGAGTCTCTTCATGTGAAGTGACTGGTCAGCAGGCCCGGCGGAGCTTTCTCGATCTTTTCACATCCCTTTCCGGCCACATGAGTTTTTTACCGTGTTGCAGTTTTCTAGCTGTTTCCATTTTTCCACTGCTTTGAAGAAGAAGAATACCTGTATATTGAGCTTGCAGGTAGCGAGTGAAATTACCAACATCTTCCAAGACGGTGAAGGTGAAAGGGAGGAGCCCTTTCTTGCAAGCTCATCCGCCATATCAATGCCTTGTATACATACCGTTGTGTCCCGGCACCCATACCAGGCGAAGAGTGGACTACTCTTCCAACAGGTTAAGTGATCTGCGGCAAGTCTCTACAGTTTGCGAGGTGCATGGACTGAATCCACAGTGCTTTAAAAGCCGCTGTCTGAGAAGATGCTTCCGTCCTTAAGCATTTGGATTGAAGGACGCTGCATTAGTCCGGTAGGCGCAATGACTTTCCTCTAGTTGTTCCGAGTGCACTTCCCCTCCATTTTGCATCCATCAAGGTGGAACTGAATAGAGTCCGCGGGTTCCAGGTTCTATTGCTATCCGCTAGGTATGCAATGAAGACAATGTCAAGGGTACTATTGATCGTCTTTTATGTTACTCTCCCGCATTTTGAAGATTCTACTCTAGATTCTACTCATGGGAGAATATAGCCGACTAAATGAACAGCACATTTTTACTTACAAAAATAAAATTTTGAGTTGTGTAGCTTTAGTGGCTAGCGTATAATGCTTGTGTTGTTACAAAATACGAAAAGAACGAATACTTATGAACGTTATATGCTGATTACTTCAAGATATTGTCAACGTTTTTTTTTTCATCACATCAACAATAACAATAACAACGATAACTATGCAATACAAGACAATCAAAAGTTCAATGGCAGTCAATGCCGAAAGGCGACTTAACGGTGAGGGACGCGAATAACTTCAATTATGCGCGTGGTCGCTAGAAAATTACAACGTTAGAGAATGGAGAAATCGTTGAAGACAATGTTTTTATGCAGATAATGTAAAGAAAGAATTGATTTCATAATAAAAATGTAATGAAATGGCAGACATGAAATAATTACCACACAAATAGTTCTCAGCTCATATCATCGCCTGGGTAAAAGATTGTCGTATGTTACGCACGTACAGATGACGCTTACGACAATCTTTTACCCAGGCGACGATATGTATACAGTGGTGGTCAGATAAAAACTACATAGTATTATACAAAATCAGTGTATACGCTGTTATTACATACTTGGAATTTCGGTAGGTATTTTAGAATATATGTAAGTAAATTTTTTTTTACTTGCTTCTTGGTGTATGTACATTGTTTTTATTTACGTTCTGCAGTGGTGGCGGCATAATTAGGGACACCACTACTTTATAAGTATTGAAAAGATATTGATTATTGAGAATTTTTATTTTGTTACGCATTTTCTCCCAATCTGATAAAAAAAATTTTAAATTTTGTTGAA